GATCATATGAAGATATTTCCCAAAATATAAAGATATATGAACATATAGAAAGGGTGATGCGGCCGGGGATCCAACCCCGGACCTTCCGCTCTCCGGGCGGACGCTCTACCACTAGACCACGGAGGCGGTCTGAGCATATTTGAATCTGTAGCACATTAACATACAAATTAGTTGAAAACAATTTGCCAATGGTCTGCAATGCAAATCAGTCCGTTTTATCTATGCACTATCCTATCCTTATTGTGTATGAGGCGGTGGGGTAGCCTAGTGGTTAAAGCGTTCGCTCGTCTAGCTGAACACCCGGGTTCGATGCCCTACATGGGCACAATGTGTGAAGCCCATTTCTGGTGTCCCCCGCCGTGATATTGCTGGAATATTGCTAAAAGCGGCGTAAAACCACAATCACTCACTCACTCACTTACTGTGTATAGTCGAGTTGTCCTCTCAGATCTCTACTGTATATTCTATACTGATTTGTACACTTATATTTTATTTAATACCAAAGAAGTATTTCCGTCATTGTCGAACACGATCATCAGCAACCCATGCTTGTCGTAAGAGGCGACTAACGGGATTGGGTGGTCAGGCTCGCTGACGTGGTTGATGCATGTCATCGTATCAGACATTCCGTCGATCGATGCTCATGATGTCAATCAATGGATTGTCTAATCCAGATCCGATTAGTTACAAACCGACGTCATATAGAACAATCACACAAGGAAATAAACAAACATAAAACAAACAAACAAACAAACAAACAAACGGAACACGATGTTTCACTGAACAAGACTTTAAGCCGGTCATAACCATTCCCTTGACATTTTTCACCACGCCGTTAACGTGTTTCCAAGAACCTGTATATGTGTGAGATAACTCATCTTCCCGAGGAAAGAGTCAGTTAACTCTCTTGCCTCAGGAAGATGGAGATAGCTGGGTTTTACAGCTGGATGTTTTCACGCAAGTGTGTAATTTCAAGAAACAGTATTACTGCTATTTCCTTGTTAGGTTTCCGGACTCCATTTGGAGGTCAAGTGTGGAAGTATTTTTTTAAATGGACGATATAGCGTTATAATGAGCTCATTAATAACTGGGGGCACGGGTGGCCCAGTCGTCTAAGGCGCCGCGATTCGCTGTGCAGAGTTGCGTCCCCTGGGCACGCCAGAAACCTATGATTGTGGGTTCGAATCCCGGTTCGCCCCGATTATGTTTCTAGGTTTGTCAGCACCATACCCGTGCTCGTGGGTTTCACCGAAGTGGTAAACGTCTGAGACCTGTATCACTTCGGGCTTTCCTCCCACATTAAGCTGACACGCCGCGATATAACTGGAATAATATTAAAAGCGGCGTTAAACCCAACTCACTCACTCATTAATAACTACAGATGGAGTTACTTCACTTAAAAGAAGAAAATAAACAATACCAAAAGAACTACATGAATACATTGATGCTTGACAGAAGTATGGTGGGAGAAACATTCTATCAAAAGGTGGATTGTTTTATTCTACACAACAATGGTGTTACAGCTTATATGAGAAGTTACTCTGAACACATAGGGGCGGTCGGATGGCCCAGTTGTTAAAACGTTCGCTCGTCACGCCGAAGACCCGGGTTCGATTCCCGACATGGGTACAATGTGTGAAACCCATTTCTGGTGTCCCCCGCAGTGATATTGCTGGAATATTGCAAAAAAGTGGCGTAAAACAATACTCACTCACTCACTCTTAACACATTCAGCGATGGATTTCACCGCTTAATGTACACAATGTCAGTCGATACTTCACTTATATGAGTACACATATTGACTATTAGCACCATTTGCTAAAGCATGCCATTGCAATTATTCTAACCATTCCTTGGGAATACATTAGACAAGCGATTGATTGTTAGACGCCTACGGATCAATTTCGGGAATTCAGAAACATGTCACATCTGTCCAAGGGCGTATGTTTCGTCCCTTGGATGGTAGCTCAGGGTGATGATGGATGACAAAACTCAGGGTTGAAGTTTAAGACGACAGCAGCCATGTTTTTTGTTGATGGTTTGGAAGAAGTCGAAAAGGGTACATGTTGATAATAACGTGACAGAACGCACACCGGGACCGAGTGGCCAATCTTCCCGGGTTGGGAGAACCGTTCTGTCCTTACCTTCTGGCTGTTTCCCTGACTGACAATGTCAACTGAAATTTTGTACCACACCCAACTTTGGGGGACTCTGACGTCGTTCTCGGTCGCGGTATGATTATCATTTTCAGTGTTGATTATGTTGATATATTGATCTTCTCAATACACTTTACTTCATGCATGTATGTTTTGTTGTTTTTGAGCAAGAGTGATTTTAAACTCTGGTAAAGTTTCTTTTGGACGTCAGTTTAGCTGGAATATTGCTGAGTGCGGCGTTTTACAACAAACAAACAAACATGTGGAGTCCCTGGGCTAGTGACTTTGATCAAAATATGCCTCAGTTTATCCAGCAGTGAATGGGTACCCGGTAGGATGAGATGGAAATCCGATTGCTACCTTATACCACCACCTAGGGCAGATTCGGTTGTTCACCGGAGTATTCATGTTTGAGCATGCTTTAATGGGATGGGGGGGCGGTGGGGTAGCTTAGTGGTTAAAGCGTTCGCTCGTCACGCCGAAGACCCGGGTTCGATTCCCGACATGGGTACAATGTGTGAGGCCCATTTCTGGTGTCAACCGCCGTGATATTGCTGGAATATTGCTAAAACGGCGTAAAACAATACTCACTCACTCCTTGACCCTTGAGCTCTGTGTTTCATTGACAATCAAATGTTCCAGTTTGTGTTGTCATAGTCAGCTCACTAACTGATTCCACTGCCATGTGGGAGAATGCTAAGGAAGAAATAACGATTCTCCGGGAATCCACCAACAGTGTAGTGATGCCCTGTACTATATAAACCAATGCAAGCTGACACGTGTGTAACACAGGCGCTGCAGCATTGTGAAGATCGTACAGATGTATGTTTTATATGTATGTAGTTCGTGACAATAGGGACTATTAGAAAATACTTATCTGCCCTTGGTTCGCATGTGCTAAGCGGCAGATGTTTAGGCGAACATGACTTCCGACGCGTACACGCTCCAGTCGCTTACGGGGCGATCGGGTAGCCTAGTGGTTAAAGCGTTAGCTCGTCACGCCGAAGACCCGGGTTCGATTCCCGACATGGGTTCAATGTGTGAGGCCCATTTCTGGTGTCAACCGCCGTGATATTGCTGGAATATTGCTACAAAAGGCGTAAAACAGTACTCACTCCAGTCGCTTAAAAAAATTGCCTATTGGCACTTTTGGAATAGGTGAGGTGAAAAAGGTTTTAACGTCGCGTCCAAGATTATTACACTTTTATAGCGACGCGCATGTACGTGTCCTAGTCCGGCTAATGCCAATACAAATATTCCTGGGAAACTCTGTGCCAGGTGAAATGGAGCCTAACGTCACGTCGCAGATTATTGCACTTACATAGCGACATGCATACGTGTGTGTGAGTCCGATTTCATAGTGCCAGCCCATTCGTCACCACTCGCCTCTTTCCGTAACCTGCAAGAAGACTCGTCCCCCTATCGATGAATGTTATGTGCGAAAATACGACAAACCAATCAGAATGCGCATATGATTTCAAGTTCTTCGTCAAAGAATCCCTCAGAAATATCTTTTGATTTTACATATGTCTTGTATCTAAAAATATACCTAAGGCACAGTTAAATGTGTGCAATCATACTGTATAATTCCGCATGTCGAGATGTGCTTTAAATTGCATCTGAAATATATATAATATATGGGGAAATATATGTGAACCATTACGCAACGAGTTGACAATTAATTTTGGTTTGCCCGTTTGCGCTAAGACGGTACCCGGTCGCAAAAATGGCCACGAGAGGGGCACGAGTCGCTATTCGGCTTGTCCCGGAACAACACGAGTTGGTCACGAATGGTGTCAGTCGGACAGTGACCAATATAGTTCCAACTGAAATTTGTTTCTTATACAGTGGCGAAGCAACATATACGCAAAGCTACAATTGTTTTTACTTGCCTTTCGCGGCAATCCATCGGACTGTCCGCAAGTATAACTGCCCTTTGTCTAACCCAAGTCTATGAGACGTCACGGCCACGTTCAGACGTTGTTGACAGTCGGCCTGTCCTGTCATAACGTTAAGAAGTGCAGTCAGATGTACACACAGCGACAAAACGAAACAAGGAAACAATTCAAACATATTTCGGCCAAACCCAACTATTTTTATTTGTGGAAAAGGTTTCAAGGCGCAGATCACAAGCACAGATGTGGCTGCTGATCCCGCTTGGCCAGGCCTGGTGCCCTCGCAAAATTGTTTCGAAATTTATATCTCTAAAGTTGCCAAAACTTATAGAATGCCTTAGCTACGTCACAGTTAGACACGGATATCCCGCATATTAGACTGTTCTTTTGATAATGATAGCAATTATCCTTGTAGTTTATCCAGATTCCCGATGGTTAATTCTCTCGATCTCCGAATGACAAGGGCGACGCCATGTTTGCACTGCACTGAAAGTAGTCCGTGCTTGACCTTTGATATTTGCATCTCTATCCGCATATGACCCCAACGGATATCATTTTTATCCGTTGGCTTTATCCTGCCGAGAAACCTTCCCATTATATGATAAAATATAATATACTGATCTCAAATGTGATGATCGCTTGTCTGATCTAATTGTAATCTCGCGCAAGTATTTTCCTTGTGTCATGGTATTGTATGTCACTTTTTCATTTCCTTATTGATCCTTATTATCTCGCGCAACTGTTATACCGCATAACGTTATTTCAAAACTAGTTCAACCTACACACAAACAGTGCAGTGATTCTACATTGTGTAGTTTCCTTTATCTAATTCATGCAAGTGCAACTGCTGTGATTTCGCTTCAATCGTGCGACTCCACATGAAAGAGAGGCTGTTCTGACGATCACATGATCACAAGCCCCGCCCACACTTCACTTTCCCCGCTTCACACATCCTGCTCATTGATACAGCTTTAATCTTGCGCCAGCGTCACATGGAGTTTGTATTGGAGCAGATGAGGCCCGCATTAGGTAAGATATTTCTATTTCGCTGTTTTCCTTATGTATGCCCCCAGTCATTAATATAATAACTACAGATTTTTATAGCGCTGGTATCAAGTTCGAAGAACTGCTCAAAAGCGCTTCATTTGAGCATACAAAAAAATTAGACATTACACAGCCAGGAAAACACAAAGCCTCAATACTCCAAGAAAGATTTGGTGAAAAGATAGGTTGTGAGGTTTTGAGTCTTGATCGGAACAAAGTAGGACTGTCAATGTTCCTGATATCCAATGGCAGCCTATTCCATAGCTCAAGGGCAACTTTGGCGAAACTCCGACCTCCAAACGTCGCCGTTCTAACACTAGGCACAGAGAGTAGGGACTGGCAGCTTGATCTGAGAGATCTCCTAGGCTCTCATTATTGAGGGGTCACAGGATACTGACTGACTGACTGAGTGAGTGAGTGAGTGAGTGAGTGAGTGAGTGAGTGAGTGAGTGAGTGAGTGAGTGAGTGAGTGCGTGCGTGCGTGCGTGCGTGCGTGCGTGCGTGAGTGAGTGAGTGAGTGAGTGAGTGAGTGAGTGAGTGAGTGAGTGAGATTTTACGCCGCTATTAGCAATATTCCAGCAATATCACGGCGGGGGACACCAGAAATGGGCTTCACACATTGTACCCATGCCGGCGCAGATACTGAGCGATAGATGGTCGCATTGTCAACTTCCAAGAGTGCAATTCAGTTGGAATGAACAAGTTTATACCCACATTGACTGTTATACTTGTCATGTATTGCACGTGCACGGGCTAAACCATTGGTTGTGTTCAGGCGTGTGCCTTTGGTAGCTTTTTCCATCACCTTAAATTCTGCACTTTTCATTGTTCTTAAGTCCTCGTCCTTTTTTCCAGTTCCATGAGGGGGCACGGGTGGCCAAGTCGTCTAAGGCGCCGCGATTCGCTGTACAGAGTTGCGTCCCTTGGGCACGCCAGAAGCCTATGATTGTGGGTTCGAATCCCGGTTCGCCCCGATTATGTTTCTAGGTTTGTCAGCACCATACCCGTGCTCGTGGGTTTCACCGAAGTGGTAAACGTCTGAGACCTGCATCACTTCGGGCTTTTCTCCCACATTAAGCTGACACGCCGTGATATAACTGGAATACTGTTAAGAGCGGCGTTAAACCCAACTCACTCACTCACTCACTCCAGTTCTATGGAAGCATCCAATATATGCTGCATAGGCGTAAACAACATGTTTTGCAACTGTTAACCACATTGTCAACATACGCAGACCTATTGACGCTTGTTAGCATATGTTCATATTTGAACCTTCAATTGAGACGGGGGCACGGGTGGCCCAGTCGTCTAAGGCGCCGCGATTCACTATGCAGAGTTGCGTCCCTTGGGCACGCCAGAAACCTATGATTGTGGGTTCGAATCCCGATTATGTTTCTAGGTTTGTCAGCACCATACCCTTGCTCGTGGGTTTCATGAAAGGGGTAAAAATCTGAGACCTGCATCACTTTGTGCTTTCCTCTCACATTAAGCTGACACGCTGTGATATAACTGGAATAGTGTTAAAAGCGGCGTTAAATCCATCTCACTCACTCTCAATAAAGACGCTTAGTGTAGATACAACAGGATAAAGGTTAAGCATCACCCTTTCTATATGTTCATATATCGTTATATTTTGGGAAATATCTTCATATGATCTCGGACCGCCTCCGTGGTCTCATGGTAGAGCGTCCGCCCGGAGAGCGGAAGGTCCGGGGTTCGATCCCCAGCCGCGTCATACCAAAAGACGTTAAAAGATGGTACTTGTTGTTACCCTGTCTGGCGCTCGGCATTAAGGGGCTAAAACAAGGACTGGTCGGCTCGGAGTCAGTATACTGTGTCTGAGTGGGGTATTCATGTTAAACTGCGGCATGGTATGTCAGTGTGCTAGCACTATAAATCGGCATCAGTCTGGACTAGTACAAGCAGCCACACACACACACACACACACACGTGCATGCACGTCGCTCTATAAGTTCAATAATCTTGGACGCAACGTTGTACAAAATACTTGCGAAATATCGCGGCTCGTGTATCACACATATATTCCCGTACTTAGAGTGAGTGAGTTGGGTTTTACGCCGCTTTTAACAGTATTCCAGTTATATCGCGGCGTGTCAGCTTAATGTGGGAGGAAAGCCTGAAGTGATGCAGGTCTCAGACGTTTACCACTTCGGTGAAACCCACGAGCACGGGTATGGTGCTGACAAACCTAGAAACATAATCGGGGCGAAACGGGATTCGAACCCACAATCATAGGTTTCCGGCGTGCCCAAGGGACGCAACTCTGCACATCGAATCGCCGCGCCTTAGACGACTGGGCCAAACGTCTGAGACCTGCATCACTTCGGGCTTTCCTCCCACATTAAGCTGACACGCCGTGATATAACTGGAATACTGTTAAAAGCGGCGTTAAACCCAACTCACTCACTCACTCAAGTTACAAGAACTATGTCCGATAGCTTGTGTGCATCATGCCATAAGTAGAAATGTCAATAAAACATTTCCCTAACCTCTCCAGATAACACATGATTTATAATTTCCTCACGGAAGTAAGTTGTGGGTCATTCTATAAAAATGCAACGTTCAGAGATAGCGTTTCCTGGTTCAGCTTTCATCTCCCTTTCAAACTTCGCATTCGATCAGCCAGGAGAGGTTTCTTGGAAAACTGCCAGTGACTGCGAATTATATTGTTCAAAATCTTCCTGTATGTAATTTACAACGGGGAGATGTCAATATTGGTGTTTTATTAGACACTGCGGCGAAATGTAACTTCTAGGGGAAATTAATAGCTGATGGCTTACATAGACGTGATATATACTTCAATATTATGACGACCAGTGATTTTTTATTACAATTGACAACAACTGTTACTCAGTATCAAACAGACTGTTTTTAAGCCGAACAAACACTGGAGTGAGTGAGTGAGTGAGTGAGTGAGTGAGTGAGTGAGTGAGTATGATTTTACGCCGCTTTTAGCAATATTCCAGCAATATCACGGCGGGGGACACCAGAAATGGGCTTCACACATTGTACCCATGTCGGCGCACATACTGAGCGATAGATGGTCGCGTTTTCAACTTCCAAGAGTGCAAGTGAGTGAGTGAGTGAGTGAGTGAGTGAGCGAGCGAGGGACACCAGAAATTGGCTTCACACATTGTACCCATGTCGGGATTCGAACCCGGGTCTTCGGCGTGCCGAGCGAACGCTTTAACCACTAGGCTACCTGACCCCCCCCCCCCCCCCCCCCCCCCCCCCGAATCAGTAGTTATTACATACCACAAAATAATAATTATCAGCAGAAAACGTCACTTCCTGTGTTGGTTTTTCTTATTGTGTTTTACCGCATTGCTTGTGATTGTAAACCTGAAATAAAATCTTGCCGTGACATTGAAGAATGCTTAATTCTGATCTGTTAAAAAGAGGTTTCCTTTTATTAAGCCTTTTCACACAAAAAGGTGCGTATGAATACACCAATAGCCTACATATTGATTAATTATAAGATGGCTGCCGATCGATCACTCACAGGAACTGTCAAGCGTGTTGATATTTCCTCTATTAGACGCTCGGTCTCTTATACAGGGCATGTCTCTGATACACGCCGAGTCAGCGGCTCTCGCATTCGTGACCAACTCGTGTTATTCCGGGACAAGCCGAATAGCGACTCATGCCCCTCTCGTGGCCATTTTGCGACCGGGTTCCGTCTTAATGCAAACGGGCAAACCAAAAATAATTGTCAACTCGTCGCGTAATGGTTCACATATATTTCCCCATATATTATATATATTTCAGATGCAATTTAAAGCACATCTCGACATGCGGAATTATACAGTATGATTGAACACATTTAACTGTGCCTTGGGTATATTTTTAGATGCAAGACATATGTAAAATCAAAAATTATTTCTGAGGGATTCTTTGACGAAGAACCTGAAATCATGCGCATTCTGATTGGTTTGTCGTATTTTCGCACATTACATTCATCGATAGGGGGACGAGTCTTCTTGCAGGTTACGGAAAGAGGCGAGTGGTGACGAATGCGGCTCTCGCCAAATTAATAGACGGCCAGGACCCAGTGTCTAAGAGCGGAAATATGGTCGTTTGATATCGGATGATTTTAGCGACAATGTGATGTTCTGGGCCATTATTCGACTGCTTCAATCGTGAGATTACAAGCCTTCACGAAGGAATAAACTTTGCACACAAATCATGTTTATGAAACTGTTAGGGACATGTTCGATGGCGAACAGACTCGGAACAGACAATTTCCTCATTGAAACAACCGACAATGAATGTAACATATAACATTATAAAAATTGTTTGAAAATCTTTATTCATGACAACATAACATTATAAAAATTGTTTGAAAATCATTATTCATGACAACATGCTGTTTACAAACCTTCTTGTGGTCCATATTCATTGCCATCTCCTTCAACCACCGTAAAGATTTGGCAGGAGGTCAAATAAGAGGTTTCTACTCTTCAGTGGGACTACAGCAAATTTCAAAACACAGTAGTTTTATATCTTAAATGATAAAATGCATAGTTATGTTGCAGGGGCAGTTCATTATGAAAAATGAAAAGCTGCGGTTGTGTGTTGAGGTGACATTTTTTACATATATAGCAATCAATCCCTCAATCAATCACAATCATAAAGTATAACATGTTATACCGTACATACTATAGCATCCAAAAATGCGGCTGCACATAAGCTATATCCTAGTTGCGTTATCAATTCAATGTTTTCAAATAATTTAGCATTCAACAGCTATTACCTGTACAGGTGTACATAGTTTGGCCTTAGAGCAGCAATAAAAAAAATAAAAAAATGACTAGCTTAGCCAGCTCCTTTTTGAATACCGGAAGGTAAACACACCAAACCCCAGTTCCGCACCAAATGTCACCTACTTGAAAATAGCTGTGGTCACAAAATCATCATGTTGAAAAAGACAGTACTAAATATAGAAAAATATGAACAGTTTTATTAACTGGATGGATATACATTAAAAAGACATAAAAACCTTACACAATTTCATCCATTTACAGCCTGCAGATATCTCGCGATCTGCACTGTTCTGATTTAGTGTAGTAGAACCCCTGCTGTCACAGCTTGACCTTACTTCATCAGCGTTGATAAGGATAAACGCGGCAATGTTTGATTTCTTTTCGCTTGTGTTCTTTCACAGAATGATCGCTTGAAGAATGGACATTTCTGCAGCAAAAACAACAACCCACGAGTCTCTACCTTGGCCTCCCCTTAAACCACCAACAAAGGGAAGGAAGCAGGGACAATCCGTGTCAATAACAACCCACCAGTACGTAGGTAAGATTACCCTCAAGACAAAAACACCCGAAACCGCACAATTACTTATATATATATATATATAAAAGATACATTTTTTCCTTTTTCCAATTTGTTTAATACGACATGTCCTCTAACGTTGTTTCCTGCTCCAGGTTGCTCAGTATCCCAGTATGACCTGTCCACCTCCTCTAACGTTGTGTCCTGCTCCAGGTTGTTCAGTATCCCAGTATAATCTGTTCACCTCCTCTAACGTTGTTTCCCTGCTCCAGGTCGTTCAGTATCCCTGTATGACCTGTCCAACTCCTCTAACGTTGTTCTCCTGCTCCAGGTTATTCAGTATCTAAGTATGACTTGTCCAACTCCTCTAACGTTGTTCTCCTGCTCCAGGTTGTTCAGTACCCCAGTATGACCTGTCCAACGTCTGTAACGTTGTTTCCTGCTCAAGGGTGTTCAGTATCCCAGTACGACCTGTCCAACTCCCAAAAACGTTGTTTCTCAACTCGAGGTTGTTCAGTATCCCAGTATGACCTGTCCAAATCCTCGGACGTTGTTTTCCTGCTCCGGGTTGTTCAGTTCCCCAGTGTGACCTGTCAAACTCCTGTAACGTTGTTTCTCTGCTCCAGGTTGTTCAGTATCCCAGTATAACCTGTCCACCTCCTCTAACGTTGTTTCCCTGCTCCAGGTTGTTCAGTATCCCAGTATAACCTGTCCAACTCCTCTAACGTTGTTTTCCTGCTCTAGGTTGTTCAGTATCCCAGTATGACCTGTCCAACTCTTCTCACATTGTTTCCCTGCTCCAAGTTGTTCAGTACCCCAGTATGATTTGTCCAACTCCTCTAACGTTGTTTTCCTGCTCCAGGTTGTTCAGTATCCCAGTGTGACCTGTTCAACTCCTGTAACGTTGTTTCTCTGCTCGAGGTTGTTCAGTACCCCAGTATGACCTGTCCACCTCCTCTAACGTTGTTTCCCTGCTCCAGGTTGTTCAGTATCCCAGTATAATCTGTTCATCTCCTCTAACGTTGTTTCCCTGCTCCAGGTCGTTCAGTATCCCTGTATGACCTGTCCAACTCCTCTAACGTTGTTCTCCTGCTCCAGGTTATTCAGTATCTAAGTATGACTTGTCCAACTCCTCTAACGTTGTTCTCCTGCTCCAGGTTGTTCAGTACCCCAGTATGACCTGTCTAACGTCTGTAACGTTGTTTCCTGCTCAAGGGTGTTCAGTATCCCAGTACGACCTGTCCAACTCCCAAAAACGTTGTTTCTCAACTCGAGGTTGTTCAGTATCCCAGTATGACCTGTCCAAATCCTCGGACGTTGTTTTCCTGCTCCGGGTTGTTCAGTTCCCCAGTGTGACCTGTCAAACTCCTGTAACGTTGTTTCTCTGCTCCAGGTTGTTCAGTATCCCAGTATAACCTGTCCACCTCCTCTAACGTTGTTTCCCTGCTCCAGATTGTTCAGTATCCCAGTATAACCTGTCCAACTCCTCTAACGTTGTTTTCCTGCTCTAGGTTGTTCAGTATCCCAGTATGACCTGTCCAACTCTTCTCACATTGTTTCCCTGCTCCAAGTTGTTCAGTATCCCAGTATGACTTGTCCAACTCCTCTAACGTTGTTTTCCTGCTCAGGGTTGTTCAGTACCCCATTATGACCTGTCCAACTCTTCTCACATTGTTTCCCTGCTTCAGGTTGTTCAGTAGCCCAGTATGATTTGTCCAACTCCTCTAACGTTGTTTTCCTGCTCCAGGTTGTTCAGTATCCCAGTGTGACCTGTTCAACTCCTGTAACGTTGTTTCTCTGCTCGAGGTTGTTCAGTACCCCAGTGTGACCCGTCCAACTCCTCTAACGTTGTTTTCCTGCTCCATGCTGTTCAGTATCCCAGTATGACCTGTCCAACTCCTCTAACGTTGTTTCCCTGCTCCAGGTTGTTCAGTATCCCAGTATGACCTGTCCAACTCCTCTGACGTTGTTGTCCTTTTCCAGGTTGTTCAGTAACCCTGTATGACCTGTCCAACTCCCAAAACGTTGTTTCCTGCTCAAGGGTGTTCAGTATCCCAGTATGACCTGTCCAACTCCTCTAACGTTGTTTCCCTGCTCCAGATTGTTCAGTATCCCAGTATGACCTGTCCAACTCCTCTAACGTTGTTGTCCTGTTCCAGGTTGTTCCTTATCCCAGTATGACCTGTCCAACTCCTCTAACGTAGTTTTCGTGCTCTAGGTTGTTAAGTGTCCCAGTATGACCTGTCCACCTCCTCTAACGTTGTTTCCCTGCTCCAGGTTGTTCAGTATCCCAGTATAATCTGTTCATCTCCTCTAACGTTGTTTCCCTGCTCCAGGTCGTTCAGTATCCCTGTATGACCTGTCCAACTCCTCTAACGTTGTTCTCCTGCTCCAGGTTATTCAGTATCTAAGTATGACTTGTCCAACTCCTCTAACGTTGTTCTCCTGCTCCAGGTTGTTCAGTACCCCAGTATGACCTGTCTAACGTCTGTAACGTTGTTTCCTGCTCAAGGGTGTTCAGTATCCCAGTACGACCTGTCCAACTCCCAAAAACGTTGTTTCTCAACTCGAGGTTGTTCAGTATCCCAGTATGACCTGTCCAAATCCTCGGACGTTGTTTTCCTGCTCCGGGTTGTTCAGTTCCCCAGTGTGACCTGTCAAACTCCTGTAACGTTGTTTCTCTGCTCCAGGTTGTTCAGTATCCCAGTATAACCTGTCCACCTCCTCTAACGTTGTTTCCCTGCTCCAGATTGTTCAGTATCCCAGTATAACCTGTCCAACTCCTCTAACGTTGTTTTCCTGCTCTAGGTTGTTCAGTATCCCAGTATGACCTGTCCAACTCTTCTCACATTGTTTCCCTGCTCCAAGTTGTTCAGTATCCCAGTATGACTTGTCCAACTCCTCTAACGTTGTTTTCCTGCTCAGGGTTGTTCAGTACCCCATTATGACCTGTCCAACTCTTCTCACATTGTTTCCCTGCTTCAGGTTGTTCAGTAGCCCAGTATGATTTGTCCAACTCCTCTAACGTTGTTTTCCTGCTCCAGGTTGTTCAGTATCCCAGTGTGACCTGTTCAACTCCTGTAACGTTGTTTCTCTGCTCGAGGTTGTTCAGTACCCCAGTGTGACCCGTCCAACTCCTCTAACGTTGTTTTCCTGCTCCATGCTGTTCAGTATCCCAGTATGACCTGTCCAACTCCTCTAACGTTGTTTCCCTGCTCCAGGTTGTTCAGTATCCCAGTATGACCTGTCCAACTCCTCTGACGTTGTTGTCCTTTTCCAGGTTGTTCAGTAACCCTGTATGACCTGTCCAACTCCCAAAACGTTGTTTCCTGCTCAAGGGTGTTCAGTATCCCAGTATGACCTGTCCAACTCCTCTAACGTTGTATCCCTGCTCCAGATTGTTCAGTATCCCAGTATGACCTGTCCAACTCCTCTAACGTTGTTGTCCTGTTCCAGGTTGTTCCTTATCCCAGTATGACCTGTCCAACTCCTCTAACGTAGTTTTCGTGCTCTAGGTTGTTAAGTGTCCCAGTATGACCTGTCCAACCCCTCTAACGTTGTTTTCCTGCTCCGGGTTGTTCAGTGTCCCAGTATCACCTGTCCACCTCCTCTAACGTTGTTCTCCTGCTCCAGGTTGTTCAGTATCCCAGTATGACCTGTCCAACTCCTCAAACGTTGTTTTCCTGCTCCAGGTTGTTCAGTATCCCAGTATGACTTATCCAACTCCTCTAACGTTGTTTTCCTGTTCCAGGTTGTTCAGTATCCCAGTATGACTTGTCCAACTCCTCTAACGTTGTTTTCCTGCTCCAGGTTGTTCAGTACCCCAGTATGACCTGTCCAACGCCTGAAACGTTGTTTTCCTCCTCCAGGTTGTTCAGTATCCCAGTATGACTTGTCCAACTCCTCTTTTGTTGTTTTCCTGCTCCAGGTTGTTCAGTATCCCAGTATGACTTATCCAACTCCTCTAACGTTGTTTTCCTCCTCCAGGTTCTTCAGTATCCCAGTATGACTTGTCCAACTCCTCTAACGTTGTTTTCCTGCTCCAGGTTGATCAGTACCCCAGTATGACCTGTCCAACACCCGTAACGTTGTTTTCCTCCTCCAGGTTGTTCAGTATCCCAGTATGACTTGTCCAACTCCTCTTATGTTGTTTACTGTTCCAGATTGGTCATTACCCAAGTATGACATGTCCAACTCCTCTAACGTTGTTTTCCTGTTCAAGGTTGTTTAGTATCCCAATATGACTTGTCCAACTCCTCTAACGTTGTTTTCCTGCTCCAGTCTGTGCAGTATCCCAGTATGACTTGTCCAACTCCTCTAACGTTGTTTTCCTGCTCCAGGCTGTTCAGTATCCCAGTATGACCTGTCCAACCCCTCTAACGTTGTTTCCTGCTCCAAGTTGTTCAGTATCCCAGTATGACCTGTCAAACTCCTCTAACGTTGTTTCCCTGCTCCAGGTTGTTCAGTACGCCAGTATGACCTGTCCAACCCCTCTTACGTTGTTTTCCTGCTCCAGGCTGTGCAGTATCCCAGTGTGACCTGTCGAACTCCTCTAACGTTGTTTTCCTGCTCCAGGTTGTTAAGTATCCCAGTATGACTTATCCAACTCCTCTAACGTTGTTTTCCCGCTCCAGGTTGTTCAGTATCCCAGTATGACTTGTCCAACTCCTCTAACGTTGTTTTCCTGCTCCAGGTTGTTCAGTACGCCAGTATGACCTGTCCACCCCCTCTTACGTTGTTTCCTGCTCCAAGTTGTTCAGTATCCCAGTATGACCTGTCCAACTCCTCTAACGTTGTTTCCCTGCTCCAGGTTGTTCAGTACGCCAGTATGACCTGTCCAACTCCTCTAACGTTGTTTCCCTGCTCCAGGTTGTTCAGTACGCCAGTATGACCTGTCCAACCCCTCTTACGTTGTTTTCCTGCTCCAGGCTGTGCAGTATCCCAGTGTGACCTGTCGAACTCCTCTAACGTTGTTTTCCTGCTCCAGGTTGTTAAGTATCCCAGTATGACTTATCCAACTCCTCTAACGTTGTTTTCCTGCTCCAGGTTGTTCAGTATCCCAGTATGACTTGTCCAACTCCTCTAACGTTGTTTTCCTGCTCCAGGTTGTTCAGTACGCCAGTATGACCTGTCCAACTCCTCTTACGTTGTTTTCCTGCTCCAGGTTGTTCAGTATCCAAGTATGACTTATCCAACTCCTCTAACGTTGTTTTCCTGCTCCAGGTTGTTCAGTATCCCAGTATGACTTGTCCAACTCCTCTAACGTTGTTTTCCTGCTCCAGGTTGTTCAGTATCCCAGTATGACTTGTCCAACTCCTCTAACGTTGTTTTCCTGCTCCAGGCTGTTCAGTAACCCTGTATGACCTGTCCAACTCCCAAAACGTTGTTTCCTGCTCAAGGGTGTTCAGTATCCCAGTATGACCTGTCCAACTCCTCTAACGTTGTTTCCCTGCTCCAGATTGTTCAGTATCCCAGTATGACCTGTCCAACTCCTCTAACGTTGTTGTCCTGTTCCAGGTTGTTCAGTATCCCAGTATGACCTGTCCAACTCCTCTAACGTAGTTTTCGTGCTCTAGGTTGTTAAGTGTCCCAGTATGACCTGTCCAACCCCTCTAACGTTGTTTTCCTGCTCCGGGTTGTTCAGTGTCCCAGTATCACCTGTCCACCTCCTCTAACGTTGTTCTCCTGCTCCAGGTTGTTCAGTATCCAAGTATGACCTGTCCAACTCCTCAAACGTTGTTTTCCTGCTCCAGGTTGTTCAGTATCCCAGTATGACTTATCCAACTCCTCTAACGTTGTTTTCCTGTTCCAGGTTGTTCAGTATCCCAGTATGACTTGTCCAACTCCTCTAACGTTGTTTTGCTGCTCCAGGTTGTTCAGTACCCCAGTATGACCTGTCCAACGCCTGTAACGTTGTTTTCCTCCTCCAGGTTGTTCAGTATCCCAGTATGACTTGTCCAACTCCTCGTTTGTTGTTTTCCTGCTCCAGGTTGTTCAGTATCCCAGTATGACTTATCCAACTCCTCTAACGTTGTTTTCCTGCTCCAGGTTGTTCAGTATCCCAGTATGACTTGTCCAACTCCTCTAACGTTGTTTTCCTGCTCCAGGTTGTTCAGTACCCCAGTATGACCTGTCCAACACCCGTAACGTTGTTTTCCTCCTCCAGGTTGTTCAGTATCCCAGTATGACTTGTCCAACTCCTCTTATGTTGTTTACTGTTCCAGGTTGGTCATTACCCAAGTATGACATGTCCAACTCCTCTAACGTTGTTTTCCTGTTCCAGGTTGTTTAGTATCCCAATATGACCTGTCCAATTCCTCTACCGTTGTTTTCCTGCTCCAGGCTGTTCAGTATCCCAGTATGACCTGTCCAACCCCTCTAACGTTGTTTCCTGCTCCAAGTTGTTCAGTATCCCAGTATGACCTGTCAAACTCCTCTAACGTTGTTTCCCTGCTCCAGGTTGTTCAGTACGCCAGTATGACCTGTCCAACCCCTCTTACGTTGTTTTCCTGCTCCAGGCTGTGCAGTATCCCAGTGTGACCTGTCGAACTCCTCTAACGTTGTTTTCCTGCTCCAGGTTGTTAAGTATCCCAGTATGACTTATCCAACTCCTCTAACGTTGTTTTCCCGCTCCAGGTTGTTCAGTATCCCAGTATGACTTGTCCAACTCCTCTAACGTTGTTTTCCTGCTCCAGGTTGTTCAGTACGCCAGTATGACCTGTCCACCCCCTCTAACGTTGTTTCCTGCTCCAAGTTGTTCAGTATCCCAGTATGACCTGTCAAACTCCTCTAACGTTGTTTCCCTGCTCCAGGTTGTTCAGTACGCCAGTATGACCTGTCCAACCCCTCTTACGTTGTTTTCCTGCTCCAGGCTGTGCAGTATCCCAGTGTGACCTGTCGAACTCCTCTAACGTTGTTTTCCTGCTCCAGGTTGTTAAGTATCCCAGTATGACTTATCCAACTCCTCTAACGTTGTTTTCCTGCTCCAGGTTGTTCAGTATCCCAGTATGACTTGTCCAACTCCTCTAACGTTGTTTTCCTGCTCCAGGTTGTTCAGTACGCCAGTATGACCTGTCCAACTCCTCTTACGTTGTTTTCCTGCTCCAGGTTGTTCAGTATCCCAGTATGACTTATCCAACTCCTCTAACGTTGTTTTCCTGCTCCAGGTTGTTCAGTATCCCAGTATGACTTGTCCAACTCCTCTAACGTTGTTTTCCTGCTCCAGGTTGTTCAGTATCCCAGTATGACTTGTCCAACTCCTCTAACGTTGTTTTCCTGCTCCAGGCTGTGCAGTATCCCAGTATGACCTGTCCAACTCTTCTCACATTGTTTCCCTGCTTCAGGTTGTTCAGTAGCCCAGTATGACCTGTCCAACTCTTCTCACATTGTTTTCCTGCTTCAGGTTGTTCAGTAGCCCAGTATGACTTGTCCAACTCCTCTAACGTTGTTTTCCTGCTCCAGGTTGTTCAGTATCCCAGTTTGACTTGTCCAACACTCCTCTAACGTTGTTTTCCTGCTCCAGGCTGTGCAGTATCCCAGTATGACCTGTCCAACTCTTCTAACGTTGTTTCCCTGCTTCAGGTTGTTCAGTATCCCAGTATGACCTGTCCAACTCTTCTCACATTGTTTCCCTGCTTCAGGTTGTTCAGTATCCCAGTATGACCTGTCCAACTCTTCTCACATTGTTTCCCTGCTTCAGGTTGTTCAGTATCCCAGTATGACCTGTCCAACTCTTCTAACGTTGTTTTCCTGCTTCAGGTTGTTCAGTACCCCAGGATGACTTGTCCAACTCTTCTCACATTGTTTTCCTGCTCCAGGTTGTTCAGTACCCCAGTATGACATGTCCAAATCCTCTAACGTTGTTTTCCTGCTCCAGGCTGCGCAGTATCCCAGTATGACCAGTCCAACTCCCCTTACATTGTTTTCCTGCTCCAGGCTGTTCAGTATCCCAGTATGACGTGTCCAACTCCTCTAACATCGCTGTTGGACACAATGGACAAAATGGCTGTCTATCACAAGGTAGATTGATCAAAGTTACTTTCAGAAACATTCAGCTCTTTGAAATTTAATATCTACAACATAGTGTCGTCAATCTGCTGATATCTAAGACCTAAATATATTGATGTTTGCATATATAAACCTTTACCAATGAATTATTAAAGAGTTAAAAGAATCAGTACATTGTGCTCTTTGTTTCCAGAAAGCCTTTGCATGAGGATCAAGGAACTGAGGGATGGTTTTATTGCGACTCATGCTCTAAGCAAAGCTCAAGAACTTCTGAAAAGGCACCACCACGTGGCAATCTGTGGAGCTCCTGGAGATGGGAAAACCACCACAGCACTCATGCTCTGTGAAAAATATCGCCAGAAAAAATATGAAATATTATTTGTGGAAAATATAGAGAAGCTGGCTGTTGAAACAATTATCAAAAGACAAAATCACATGATAGTTGTATTTGATGACATTTTTGGATCTGTAACATTTTCAGCTAATATGGACAAACTACATTACGTTTTCAATACCTTGAATGACGCCTTATTGAGCTCGACAAGGGACAATGAAACTGTTGCCAAGAAGACGACTGATGAAAAGATACCAAGAGGACACAAAATTCTTCTTATATTCACCTCAAGAAGCTACAACTGGAACGAGGGCAGTGCAAGACTGCATCAGTTCAAAGTAAACATCTTCAAACCTGAAGCCATTGTTGATCTGACAAGATCATTTCTGACCACAGAAGAAAAAAAGGCTATGATTCAATCATTCAGCTCCAGGAGTCAGATGTGTGAAGCCTCAAGCAAGGACATGCAAACCATTACTGAGTTACAAGACAGCATATTTGGATATCCTTTGATCTGCAAATTGTACTACACTAACCCAGTCTTCCAGATGCACAGTCGTATTGACTTCTTCCAGAACCCTGTGACATACCTGAGAGGTGACCTTGACACCATTGTTCGTGAAGGCAGCAGCAGATCGGCAGCTCTTGTTCTCCTTGTTCTGTGTGGTGGGAAGTTGGACCTTGTCGCCTTCAAACTGGGGATAGACATGAAAATTACAGATTTACTCCAGGTTGTAAAGGAAGAGATATCACTTTGTACTCGTACCGGCATTGCGAAGGAGATCTGCAACTTTACTGGCACTTACTGTACAGTAGAGAATCAGGTAGCCTCCTTCTTTCATCCATCCATCCACGATGCTGCAGCATGCGCCCTGGGAAATCTGAATGATGTGTTGTTACTGAAACATTGTTCGCTGCAGTTCTTATATGAAAGAGTTAGACTGAGCAAGGACAGCCAGCAACAGACAACCCACACCGATGATGTCACAAACATGATCTACATCACTTCCAGTCTCCACCCGTTAGTGATCAGCAGGTTGGTGGAGGGTGTCCGAGAAGGATGCTTCAGATGGACAGTAGGCCACCCTGTATTCAGAAGTGCTCAAATAGCATCCTCCTTCTTGACACAGATCATGGCTGACTTACCAGGTGTTGTTCAAAGAAAAGATAGGAACTCAGGCGAATGTTTTTTATACTGGGTTTCATTGTCAACTAACCATTCACTGTTTGAACGCTCGGTGTCACTGATGAGTAATGATGGGAATATTTCACATTCTGCACTCACTGACTTCTATGACAGTATCACAGGCAGTATACAAAATGGTTACCTAAAACATCTTCAACATATTACTGCTGTACTCAAACAACATGGGAAATATGATGTAAACTGGAGGACAAACAGAGGAAGGACCATGCTTATGGCTGCTGCTGAGACAGGACAGTTGGATGTGTTCAACTATCTACTCAAAGAGGGAGCTGACGTCTCTCTGAGAGACTGGCATGGCCACAACTGTCTTCATATTTCATGTAAATATGGAAGCCATGATATCGCCAGAGTTGTTATTGAGCAGTTCCAACAAATGATTGAAGTGCCTGATAAAATGCAAAACACCCCAGCAATGCTGAGTGCGAAGTCAGGGCAATGTGAGATCCTGAAGTGTCTTGTGTCCCACAAGGCAGATCTCACTGTCACCAATTATTGTAACTGTAACTGTCTTCATATTTCATGTGCAAATGGTCACATATCAATTGTGAAATATTTGATCTCATTTCCACAAATCGACATGAATATGAAAGGAGGCTTCTTGACCACAACACCAGTGATGATGGCAGCTGAAGGAGGACACTATTCTGTTTTTTATCTTCTTGTATCAGAAGGAGCCGATTTGTCACATACTGATGACTACAACAGGGACTGCCTGATGCTGGCATGTGGGGGAGGTAATCTCCCTATTGTCAAACATCTCTTATCTTTGAATACCTCCGACATCAACAGAAAAGGGCACAATGGACAAACGTCGGTTATGTTGGCAGCTGCAGGGGGACACAGTAGTGTTTATAACCTTCTTGTGTCAAAGGGTGCTGATCTGTCGCTCATCGACAATGACAACAGAGATTGTTTGATGTTGGCTTGTGAAGGAGGGGACATAAATATAGTGAAACATCTCTTCTCTTTGAAAACGGTTGATGTAAACAGAAGAGGGGGATGGCAAGAAACAACACCAGTTTTGATGGCAGCTGAATGTGGTCACTCTGAAGTCTTTAATCTTCTTGTATCCAGAGGAGCTGACTTATCACGTGTTGACAGATACAACAGAAACTGTCTGATGTTGGCATGTAAGGGAGGCAATCTTTCTATTGCGAAACACCTCTTATCTCTGAACACATTTGACATCAACAAGAGAGGGGGATATTCAGATCAAACACCAGTGATGGTTGCAATTGAGGAAGAACACTATGATGTTTATCATCTTCTTGCTTCAGAGGGAGCTGATGTGTCACTCGCTGACAAATTCAGCACAGATTGTCTCATGGTTGCATGTATGCAAGGAAACATATCCACAGTGAAACATCTCTTATCCTTGAACATCTTTGACATCAACAGAAGAGGCGGATGGAGGCAACATACTGCTGTTATGATGGCAGTAGAAGGAGGACACTGTGATGTTTATAAGCTTCTTGTGTCACAGGGAGCTGATCTCTCTCTTTCTGATGTTCACAACAGAGACTGTCTGATGTTGGCATGCATGGGCGGTAGCCTAGCTATTGTGCAAGACAATTTATCTTTGGGAGCATTTGACATCAATAGAAGAGGAGGCTGCTCAGACCAAACCCCAGTCATGGTGGCAGCTGAAGAAGGACGCTATGACATTTACAATCTTCTTGTATCAGCGGGAGCTGACCTCTCAATTACTGATGGATCCAACAGGGACTGTGTGATCTGGGCGTGTAAGGGAGGTAACCCATCCATAGTGAAACACCTCTTATCCCTGAACACATTTGGCAGAGAAGAATATGGTTGTGCTGAATATATCAGTTGTGCCAAGGGACACAAGGACATCATTGACCTCCTGAAATTATATTCAGTGAAGGTCTGTACTGCTCAGTATCAGATAGAGGACGAGTGACAGTACGTTATCAAGTAAAAATGTTATGCCAAGAACTGAGGCAGAGACTCTCTCTCATTTACTCACATAGTTTTAAACACAGAATGCTTATCTCCATTCAACCATGAAAAAATTGTGTGAACAAAGGTCCAACACACTGGTTACGGGTGATAAGGTTTCATTCCCAGTGTCTGATACACTCCCTGAAACAATATATCATTCAAAAATACAGTGTCATAACTTGAGGCTTCAAAACAGTCAGGGGTGGTCGGGTAGCCTAGTGGTTAAAGCGTTCGCTCGTCACGCAAAAGACCCGGGTTCAAATCCCGACGTGGATTCAATGTGTGAAGCCCATTTCTGGTGTCCCCGGCCGTGATATTGCTGGAATATTGCTAAAAGCGGCGTAAAACCAAACTCATTCACACAAAACAGTCCATTACAAAAATTAAAGAAATAAAAATGACAGATTATATGATTATTAACAACAAGGGTCGATAACTCCTTGATTAACGCATACATTCAAATCAAAATAGATATGGGACAGACATAGACGTTTTCATGCAATACGTATGTCAGATTAAATAGATATGATACCCAGTATCACATAAACATATACCAGAATACAAAATAACATTATTCTGACCCGGTGTATGACACTGGGGTGCACACGACGTTAGCACCGCCAAACCAGAACAACCAAGCGTAACTAAAATCTGTGTAAACAATTTTCTGTAGTAACTACAAATCAAATAGCTACTATCATTACAAACGCATGGAACGCATCAAAACAGCTTAGGCTAAAACCACATTCGTACTTAAATTCACATATACAATATTCATCCTATCATTTATGAAATCAGTCAATCAAACGTTCAAACGAAAGGACACTTTCATCATTGCTTTGCCATTAAACACAGAAAAAAAACCCTCCTAATCCCCCCTCCTCCTCCTCCTCCCTCTGCTCGCCAACTCTGATGTCCATGATAGCCTTACTTGCTTCAGTGGAGGATTTTACGTGCGCTTCTTTTATTTAAGTTGAGGATTTTACGTGGGTTTCTCCTCCTCGCCCTCTTGGAGGCGCAAGCCTCCTGGAACCGGATGTGCCGCCATCTTTTGAGGCGCATGCCTCCCGGAAACGGACGTGACGTCATCTTGGATGCGCACGCATTACCCAGCATGTCCCTCTTCGCGCATCCAAGATGGCGGCACTTTCAATAGGGGAGATAACTCCTGCTGGCTTGACCAGGGTTCTGTCCTATACCACTAACAATACATATTTTACCGAAATTTGTTCCTGAAATAGCCAGGATTTCTACCCCTCTGCGGGCAATTATATGATATGAAAAATAGTAACACAAAGAGCAAAAATACGGTTTCGTCTCTCACCTGTTACTTATCTAGACTGCTCTCCTTTTTCGTGGTAATTTGATGAATGGGTACACACAACTAGTTATACTACCGCGGGCCCGTTTTATATTTTCGGCACCTTTCCCCTACGCTGAGCGCGCTGGTCATACGTCACTCATACGCTTGACATAAGCTGGCAATACGCTTTTATACTTTTAAATTATGTATAAGTCAGTGATGCACTACTAATACGTTAGACATGCGTTAGATATACGGTGAACTCGTTATGTATACGCAGTGTTCGAAATACCTGCCTGCCCGACCGTCCGAGACGGGTTGATTTCAACTCGGGCTGCCAGATTTTCGAATCCCCCTGCCCGACAGTCGGGTAATATTTCATATGTAAAAATATTCTAAATATTTCCCGATGATAAGCATTATTTACATGATGTATTCTGGGATATTAAATACAAATCTAACCTAAAAAGTGTTTGCTATTTCTTTTCTTGCATTACTTCATGTTCAATGAATTCGATTTAAAGTTTTAATTAAATTAAACTGTGAAACATATGATTATAGTGGGCAGGCAGGTTTTGGTCAGGGCTGGCAAGTATTTCAGTTAGCCAGTCCTGTGGTCTGGCTGAATTTTTTGGGAGTTTCATACCCTGGTATACGCTAGGGATACGCCAAAATCATGTTTTTCCGATAAACGCTCGACGTGTGACAGCGTACTAACTGTCTTTTACACGCTAGGTGCAAGTTACTCTAAAACGTTGTAGTATGACAGGGCACTTACCCTTGAGGTTCTCCAATCACCAGGGGGGCGGTCGGGTAGCCTAGTGGTTAAAGCGTTCGCTCGTCACGCCGAAGACCCGGGTTCGATTCCCGACATGGGTACAATGTGTGAAGCCCATTTCTGGTGTCCCCCGCCGTGATATTGCTGGAATATTGCTAAAAGCGGCGTAAAACCATACTCACTCACTCACCCAATCACCAGCCCTGCTGGTGCAAAGGGGGAATGTGATGTGCAAATTTGAAATAAGAAAGAGGGCAAGAGTTTGAATGATCCAATCGGTGTTGATTAAATCAGGCCAGGTAATAATGTGGTAGCCCTACCTATCTACCCTTAATTATTTTAGAATGAAACTACCTATAGAGCTAATAATAGTCCAACTGTGAAACAGTCTATGTCCTTATTATTACAGTCTGTTTCAAAATGGCAAAACCAATTGAAAGAAAAAGTACATTCATTAGTTTAAATAAGAATCTGAAAGTAATTGTCAAAGTACAAATATCAACGCAACGCTTTAATGACTTAAGACTAATATGTGCATGACTGTATAATACAATAATATGTATGTGCCACAAAATTAAACTTGAACTCTTGTTGGATCCAGTTTGTTTGTTTGTTTGTTGTTTAACGCCGCACTCAACTATTATCCAGCTATATGCAAATAATCGAGTCTGGACCAGACAATCCAGTGACTGACATCATGAGCATCGATCCACGCAATTGGGATCGTTGACATGCACCAACCAAGTCAGGAGCCTGACCGGCCGATCCCGTTAGTCGCCTTTTACGACAAGCATGGGTTGCTGAAGACCTATTCTACCCCGGATCTGTTGCCTCCAGTGTTAGGAGTGGGTAGTCAATAGGAATTCAGGAAACGACCCGACAATAATATTTACCAAATTACGATACGATGTCAGTTCAAACATTGCTTTTGTTAAAGTGTTATGATTTACTCACACATAACAGGCAATAAAGTAACAACTTTACAAGACAACTTTACATAGACACGCCTTCACACAAGTGAAGAAGGCACATTGATATTTTTAACTCTATTTCTTTTTGTGTGTGTGCTTGTTGTTTAACGCTGCACTCAGTTATATTCCAGCTATATGACGGCAGTCTGTAAATAATCGTGTCTGGACCAGTAAATCCAGTGATTGACACCATGAGCTTCGATCCACGCAATTAGGATACGATGACATGCATCATCAAAGTCAGCGAGCCTGACCATCCGCTCCTATTAGTCACCTCTTACGACAAGCTAATACTGTCATTGAGCAAACATTGTATTAACTAAATCAATATTACTTTTTTCTCTCAAAAGAGTCTGCCCTGGTGCAAACAAGATTAAAATTAGAATTTGTTCCCATGCCTTTTCTCGTGTGGACTACACTGACCATGTAGGATTCTCACTCTTTCATATTTTATATTTCATATGTAAATAATGTCATCATTACAAGACCTCCTGAGATATTTCACTATCTAAGGCAAGTTAAGCGCCTTTAGTTTAAGGCAAGTTAAGCTCCTCTAGTTTAAGGTAAGTTAAGCGCCTCTAGTTTAAGGCAAGTTAAGCTCCTCTAGTTTAAGGCAAGTTAAGCGCCTCTAGTTTAAGGAAAGTTAATCTCCTCTAGTTTAAGGCAAGTTAAGCTCCTCTAGTTTCAGGCAAGTTAAGCTCCTCTAGTTTAAGGTAAGTTAAGCGCCTCTAGTTTAAGGTAAGTTAAGCGCCTCTAGTTTCAGGCAAGATAAGCTCCTCTAGTTTAAGGTAAGTTAAGTGCCTCTAGTTTAAGGTAAGTTAAGCTCCTCTAGTTTAAGGCAAGTTAAGCTCCTCTAGTTTCAGGCAAGTTAAGCTCCTCTAGTTTAAGGTAAGTTAAGCGCCTCTAATTTAAGGCAAGTTAAGCTCCTCTAGTTTAAGGCAAGTTAAGCTCCTCTAGTTTCCGGCAAGTTAAGCTCCTCTAGTTTAAGGTAAGTTAAGCTCCTCTAGTTTAAGGAAAGTTAAGATCCTTTGTGTGTGTGTGCTTGTTGTTTAACGCTGCACTCAGTTATATTCCAGCTATATGACGGCAGTCTGTAAATAATCGTGTCTGGACCAGTAAATCCAGTGATTGACACCATGAGCTTCGATCCACGCAATTAGGATACGATGACATGCATCATCAAAGTCAGCGAGCCTGACCATCCGCTCCTATTAGTCACCTCTTACGACAAGCTAATACTGTCATTGAGCAAACATTGTATTAACTAAATCAATATTACTTTTTTCTCTCAAAAGAGTCTGCCCTGGTGCAAACAAGATTAAAATTAGAATTTGTTCCCATGCCTTTTCTCGTGTGGACTACACTGACCATGTAGGATTCTCACTCTTTCATATTTTTTATTTCATATGTAAATAATGTCATCATTACAAGACCTCCTGAGATATTTCACTATCTAAGGCAAGTTAAGCGCCTCTAGTTTCAGGCAAGATAAGCTCCTCTAGTTTAAGGTAAGTTAAGTGCCTCTAGTTTAAGGCAAGTTAAGCTCCTCTAGTTTAAGGCAAGTTAAGCTCCTCTAGTTTCAGGCAAGTTAAGCTCCTCTAGTTTAAGGCAAGTTAAGCTCCTCTAGTTTCCGGCAAGTTAAGCTCCTCTAGTTTAAGGTAAGTTAAGCTCCTCTAGTTTAAGGAAAGTTAAGATCCTTTGTGTGTGTGTGCTTGTTGTTTAACGCTGCACTCAGTTATATTCCAGCTATATGACGGCAGTCAGTAAATAATCGTGTCTGGACCAGTAAATCCTATGATTGACACCATGAGCTTCGATCCACGCAATTAGGATACGATGACATGCATCATCAAAGTCAGCGAGCCTGACCATCCGCTCCTATTAGTCACCTCTTACGACAAGCTAATACTGTCATTGAGCAAACATTGTATTAACTAAATCAATATTACTTTTTTCTCTCAAAAGAGTCTGCCCTGGTGCAAACAAGATTAAAATTAGAATTTGTTCCCATGCCTTTTCTCGTGTGGACTACACTGACCATGTAGGATTCTCACTCTTTCATATTTTTTATTTCATATGTAAATAATGTCATCATTACAAGACCTCCTGAGATATTTCACTATCTAAGGCAAGTTAAGCGCCTCTAGTTTCAGGCAAGATAAGCTCCTCTAGTTTAAGGTAAGTTAAGTGCCTCTAGTTTAAGGCAAGTTAAGCTCCTCTAGTTTAAGGCAAGTTAAGCTCCTCTAGTTTCAGGCAAGTTAAGCTCCTCTAGTTTAAGGTAAGTTAAGCGCCTCTAGTTTAAGGCAAGTTAATCTCCTCTAGTTTAAGGCAAGTTAAGCTCCTCTAGTTTCAGGCAAGTTAAGCTCCTCTAGTTTAAGGAAAGTTAAGATCCTCTAGTTTAAGGCAAGTTAAGCTCCTCTAGGTTAAGGCAAGTTAAGCTCCTCTAGTTTAAGGCAAGTTAAGCTCCTCTTGTTTAAGGCAAGTTAAGCGCCTCTAATTTAAGGCAAGTTAAGCTCCTCTAGTTTAAGGTAAGTTAAGCTCCTCTTGTTTAAGGCAAGTTAAGCGCCTCTAGTTTAAGGCAAGTTAAGCTCCTCTAGTTTAAGGAAAGTTAAGCGCCCATAGTTTAAGGCAAGTTAAGCGCCTCTAGTTTAAGGAAAGTTAATCTCCTCTAGTTTAAGGCAAGTTAAGCTCCTCTAGTTTCAGGCAAGTTAAGCTCCTCTGGTTTAAGGTAAGTTAAGCGCCTCTAGTTTAAGGCAAGTTAAGCGCCTCTAGTTTCAGGCAAGATAAGCTCCTCTAGTTTAAGGTAAGTTAAGTGCCTCTAGTTTAAGGTAAGTTAAGCTCCTCTAGTTTAAGGCAAGTTAAGCTCCTCTAGTTTCAGGCAAGTTAAGCTCCTCTAGTTTAAGGTAAGTTAAGCGCCTCTAATTTAAGGCAAGTTAAGCTCCTCTAGTTTAAGGCAAGTTAAGCTCCTCTAGTTTCCGGCAAGTTAAGCTCCTCTAGTTTAAGGTAAGTTAAGCTCCTCTAGTTTAAGGAAAGTTAAGATCCTTTGTGTGTGTGTGCTTGTTGTTTAACGCTGCACTCAGTTATATTCCAGCTATATGACGGCAGTCTGTAAATAATCGTGTCTGGACCAGTAAATCCTATGATTGACACCATGAGCTTCGATCCACGCAATTAGGATACGATGACATGCATCATCAAAGTCAGCGAGCCTGACCATCCGCTCCTATTAGTCACCTCTTACGACAAGCTAATACTGTCATTGAGCAAACATTGTATTAACTAAATCAATATTACTTTTTTCTCTCAAAAGAGTCTGCCCTGGTGCAAACAAGATTAAAATTAGAATTTGTTCCCATGCCTTTTCTCGTGTGGACTACACTGACCATGTAGGATTCTCACTCTTTCATATTTTATATTTCATATGTAAATAATGTCATCATTACAAGACTTCCTGAGATATTTCACTATCTAAGGCAAGTTAAGCGCCTTTAGTTTAAGGCAAGTTAAGCTCCTCTAGTTTAAGGTAAGTTAAGCTCCTCTAGTTTAAGGCAAGTTAAGCGCCTCTAGTTTAAGGTAAGTTAAGCTCCTCTAGTTTAAGGCAAGTTAAGCGCCTCTAGTTTAAGGAAAGTTAAGATCCTCTAGTTTAAGGCAA